AACTTTGTGAGGAGATATACCGTATGATCGAAAAAATGGCGTCCAGTTGGCTTGGAAATGACGATCGATGACATTTCCCATATAATTTTACATATAAAATGACAGCGATCTTCAATTCATAGCCATCGCTGTCGCCGTTTTTATTCGATCATACAGTAGGTATATTAAAGCTAGGTATATTTAATTATTGTAAGATCTCATAATAGGTAATTTATTTAAAATCTCTAATCACCCGAAAAAATAGAAGATATGGCAACGTTGTAAATTTTCAAATTTCTAGATTAGGTCTAGAATATATTTGTCTCTATCATTACATAGGAGACAGAAAGAAGAATATATGAAATGTCAAACAAATGACATGTCAAAAAAAAAATTTGTTAAGAAAAGTGTTTTTCAGTAAAATTTTGGACATTTTTCTATCCCCAATCAAGTGTGGCTTTTAGATAAACTATAATATAATGAAAATATAGTGAAATTATTACTTTATTGGGCCAAAATAAAGAAAAATTCAATGTTGAAATTATTTTCCGTTTTTCTGAAAAACGGTAAGAGACCGCCAAGAAAAAAGTTCAGATTCGTAGTCTACGACCTCAAAATAGTTTGTATACCAATTTTGGTGAAAATCGGACGATTTCCAGTTTTCCCAATAATTACCGTTTTTTCTCCTAGAATGATTTAGGGAAATGTGCAATAAAGAGAAAGTCTGAAAATTTTGGATACATACATATTATCTTGCGTAAGTAACCACCCCACGAGAGATCGCAAATGTTTTTTGAAACACCTTGTATTTATTTTTGCATTGCGCCCAACCTAAATTTGTTGATTTGCTCCATACTTCCCAAGTAGTATTTTTGGACACATTTTAAGTAATGTTTCTAATAATTGTGTCTGCTTCTTGACACATGTGTTTTCAATGTGGTGGCACTAGCCGTTTCCTGAAATGTTTTGATGCGGAATGAAAACTTTTAGAGGAAATGTTTCGGGTCAACTTTCCTTTAGCTGAAATCAGTTATTAGAGAAAAAAAATGTTTTTTAAAAAGCCACTGTGAACCGCGGAAAACACAAATTTTTCTGCGGAAATGCGTAATTTCCAAATTTCCCACTTTAGAATAACTGAACTGCTATAAAAAAAATACATTTTGCGTTTTATTTTTAATATTTTTCTGAACATATAAACACAAAAATTTTCCTGCGGAAATAAGCTGTTTTTATTTTCTAAGGAAATTTATTAGACTTTAGAATAGCTGAAATCCGTTATATAACAAATAAATATATTTTTGCCTTTTAGAAGCATTCACGAATTGAGGAAAATAAAAAATTTCCTGCGGAAATAAATTGTATCCATTTTCTGAAGGAATTTAATAGACTTTAGAATAGCTGAAATCAGTTATATAAAAAATAAATTTATTTTTGCCAGAAGCGTTTACAAACTCAGGAAAATAAAAATGCTTGATTTTCATTTTCCATTTTTGTAAGCATAAATACATAAAAAATTATCTTTTTATCACTTTTGAACCATAAAAGTCGTTTAAAAATGTCTAAAATGCTAACCAATCTAATAATAAATCTAATAATATTTTTACAAAATCAGTTATTTACAGTTAATTATTAAAATACAAAACCCATAGCTTAACACCCTCCACAAAGAAAAGCTAACCAAAGCAACCCAAATGTTAACAAAGATGCTAACCAATCTAATATTTTTGCAAAATCACAGTTAATTATTAAAATATAAAAGAAAACTGCATGATCCAATGATTTTTTGTTTTGAATCAGCCCTATTTATTACGTAAGGCTTTAATAAAAAACAAGAATAAGTGCAACATTCCGAGGTACTTATAGTCTACAAGAACCTATATTATCTATTCTACAAAAATTGTTATTCCTCCGAAAGATGTTTCACTCCATGCACCCAGCACCCCTATTCGCTCCCGGGTCCCGTAAGATTCTAAACTGAAAAATGTATGAGAAACAAAGTGCACAAAATGACATTGACACATTTCCGCAGGAATTTTTTTGTATCTATTACTTTGCTCGTAAAGGCTCGTATAAAACAAATATCAGTTCATTTTTCATGTAACTGTTTTCAGCTATTCTAAAGTCAAAGCATTTTTTATGTAAAATAAGAATAAAAAATTTCCGCAGACACTTTTTTGTGTTTTTATGTTTAGAAAAATGTCTAAAACACACCCCGAAGACTAATTTTGATGTAACAGATTTCGGCTATACTAAAGTCCGAAAAATGAAAATGACGCATTTTCGCAGGAAAATTTTTGTATATTTGTACTCCTAACGCCTTCTAGAACGCATATATAAAGTCATTTTTTATATAACAGATTTCAGCTAAACGAAAGTTGAGCCAATGTTTCGAAACAGTTCCTGCAATTTGTGTCCAAGATTCCCGTTTTCAGCAGCCACTGTTTCTAAATGTTAAGAAACGAAATACCAAACTAAAATAACCTATGTGTGTGTGTGTGTGGATTTCAAAATGAAAACAACCATCAACAATGCGGACCTCCACCATATTTTTTTATCTTAAAATCTTTGTTTTTAGATTTTCTCGCACAAAAAATACCAATTGCAAAAGCAAATTCATCTTTTAATTTAATAATGTACTTTCATAGTTTTAATGCCCCTTCGATCACTAGCCAACATGGCAGAATTTTAATTCATTATTTTATAAAATTGACATGGAGTCGAATACAAATCATCTACATCAGATCATATTTGTGTCTAAAAAGAGAGAAACTCGTGTTTCGAAAATAAATCGACAATATATGGAAACGTTGTCTCTAAAATGTTTCAAGTTAGCGTTATCTATGTAGAAATTTCGAACTAGTCACCTGTCAACAACGCCAATAAAAACTTGTTGTGTCAATATAATTGAGAGAGAGAGAAACAGTTTTATTTACTTATTATAACACAGTTAAGGCATAAAAACATGTATTCCATTGTGAAAAATATGTGTATTTGTACTCACTATATATGTCCTTACTTCTGCTTTTTTAATTATAGTACCAAAGAATATTATAGTTAACACAAGTATAATTTATCTTTGATAGTACTATAAAAACTTGAAGAATGTTTAAATGCAAAAACTGTAGAACAAAATCAAAACAATAAAGTAAGGTTATGTTATCATATATGACAGAATATCAAATAAATTATGGAAACTTTTCAGGCACAAAACGGGTACGAAATTTGTAAATGTGGACCATATCTGCTCCTTAAAATTTTCAAAAAAATTGTCTAAGATCTTTATTGTTATAGCCTATGTAGCGAAACCATATTTTGGTAAAATGTTTCGACACAAAAAACGATTTATGTTACGATAGATATGTATTAAAAATGTGACGAAACTGTTTCGCAGAGTTTTTGTTTCGATTTTGTGTCTAACAATGCTACTTGGGTTAATATTTTTATTCAAAGGTTGAACCTAGCTGTTTTAAGAAAAATAATTTTTAGAAATCTAATGATATAAGCCATACTTTCAAAGTTCAGCCAGTTGACAGAAATTAGGAAGAATGGCCCAAAGAAAAATCGTCAAAGTCAAAGACAAACACGTCTATTAAAAGTCGACTTATTTTATCGTCGGGGGCATTTTTATTAGCGACGTTCAGCAAAAATAAACAAACTTTCTTTGCCGGTGTGCTGTTTGTGTTGTCTGTTTGCCGATGTGTTTTACATCGGCGCCGTCTAGTAAAAACTTTCCGGGAATCTCGCGGAATCCATTAATTTCAAACTTAAATCGCGGCATTAAAGTGCCCGCCCCAACAAAGATCCCCGGATTTAGATTTTTAAGTTTTAATGAATTATTATAATGTAAAAGTTTTATTGATAAGAATAGTAAGAGAATGGAAATTTGTTCAAAGATAAACTTTTAATGAGCTATAATGCTGAAATTATTAAAATTTTGAGGCACATAAGGGTTGATTCTCACTATAACCTTCCGTTTTCATTCCATATCCGTTCCGTATTTTTATTCTATTGACGCTATACGTAAGCTTCCGTTCCATATCAGTTCCATCCTATTTATTGTACAATTTATATCATTACGAAAGTTTTATTTTAAAAATTTGTATCTTTTAAAAAGGTAATAGACTTAATTAAGATGCGAAAGAATAAATAAATATCAGCAAAATTTTAACAGAGCTGGTCCAAATGTAAGGACTTGACAACGCTGTTTCCGATACACTTCGGTCCGTCCGCAAAAAAATGTATGGAAGGATATGAAACGGAAGGGAAACGGAACGTATAGTGTGCATTGTCCTATTCATTTACATGATATAATATTTTATGTAAACGGAAGGGAAACGGAAGGGAAACGGAAGGGAGCTGATATGGAAGGTATAGTGAGAAATTAACTTTAATATGTTCCGGCGCGTGGTTCAGTACTTGAGATTGCACACATTAACAAAAATGTAAAGCAACCACACCCAAGAAATGGAAACCTCCAAATGGAACATTCTACCCCTCTAATTCCCAGTGGCGAGACATACCAATAATATACAGGGTGCTACAAATTCGAGGTACGAGCATTGGTATCTCGGAAACCGTAATAGATACGAAGATGGTTAAACTGGGGCAAAGTTGCGCGTTGGGATGTTCATCAAGATGCCACCAAAGAGTTTTTTGGAAAAACGGATTTTTTTGAAAACCAATTTTATTTTTTCTTGTCGTTACTTTTTAGAAAATTAAAAAAACTAATTGTATATTTAGCCAATTTATTAGGGCTATTAATTATAAATTTTCAAATTAGCTGATATTTGTGAGATGCAGAGGCCGATTTTTTATTTCTGTTTTTGAAATAGCTCGGTCTTCTAAGTACAATATGCCACATCTACTACTTTTTTTTGTTTTGGGTACCTTAACAACAACAAAACTATTTAATTATCATTTAAAATATTTTCAAGTCCAACCCAGGTTTTTTAAATTATTTAATCTGATTATATTCATTGCAACAATATAATAATCTATTATACATTTGTTTTTGGTTTCAGTTTCTGCTAATGTATCAAGGTGCTATAACTGCAACAGCGCTTATTGTGGAGACCCTTATGATGTATACCTAGGTTCAATTATCAGTTGTTCTGATGTCTTCAAGAATGCCAAACTTTTCTTCAGCCGCCTTGTGTCAAATTCAAATTCTGCTTCTTTGACACAATTAAATGGTAAGAAAAACTTTTATTTATGGTTTGAGTGATTTTCAGACTTCTTTACTAAGGATCAGCGACACCTTAATTTTTAAATCACAATAGGTGAACTGCGATACTTATCGATAGGTAAAATCTTACGATGTATCTAACGTATCTGTTTAAAAAAACTAAAGTGTCCTCGAATAGTTGAATTTAAATATTTTAAATAGTTTTTTTCTTTATTCGTTGTATTTTTTTGGCTTCCGACGACGGAAAGAGATTCCGAAACGTTAAGCATTTTTTTGTTCGTTAGGCAAATTTGTAGATCTGTGAACCAAACTTCTGACAAGTAGTTTCCGTTTGGAATTAAAGCAGCAGTGTTTACAAAAAATAACTATTTTATTTAGTAGGTTTTCTTGCAATGGCGAAATACCTATACCGGGTGCGTCTCAAAAGTGGCTCAACCCCTATAACTTTTTTATTTTTTCATATAAAACAACGAGATTTGGTATGTTAGTATATGACATAAATTGGGATTGACTGACGTGTTCATTTGTTTTCAGTCACTTCCGGTTACACCGGAAATAACTACAACTTTTGATTTTTAAATGGCACCCTTGGTATTTTTTTACTTTATTCGATAGAAAATGACACTCTGAATCGAATGAGATATCATATGTCAATTTTTGACATAGTCACTCAAAAACAAATTCTATTTTAAATTTCAATCTAGAGTGTTATGGCTTTGTTAAAAACACTAATTTTTAATCAAGGAGCCTTAGAAAAATAGATTTGATCGTCTAATATTTTTAGTGTCTTGTCCTGGCCGATTAAAAGATGCCCAAATCGTATTTTTAATCATATCTCAATTTTTTCAAATGGAACGAGGGTGGCTCATTAGCATATTTGGAAAAAGCATTTTTTTACGAATAATTTGGTACCACACACTTGGTATTTTGAGTCAAATTGTCGTTATGAACCGCATGTTACAATTTCAAATAAACCATACGCGAAAATGTCAATAATTGACATATGATATGTCATTCGATTCAGAGTGTCATTTTCTATCGAATAAAGTTGTAGTCATTTCCGGTGAAACCGGAAGTGACCGAAAACAATTGAATACGTCAATCAATCCCAATTTATGTCATATACTAATATGCCAAATATCGTTGTTTTATCTGAAAAAATCAAAAAGTTATAGGGGTGAGCCACTTTTGAGACGCACCCGGTATAGGATTTTTTGGAGAGATAATATCGTATGTCCAACTTCAAATCTGTGTCCGATGTTATTATCATTACAATACCGAAGTTTAAAAACATTATTAAGAAACATTTAAAAATACAAATAGACAAATAAAACATAGTATAACCGACGTTTTCTCATTAGAAAACATTATTAAATGGTCGGTTTTATTGTGATAAAAATAAAAAAAAAACTATCCCCTTTATTGTTGTAGAGACTCAAGTCGGGGCCGACAATTCTAACGACATCGAGACCCTCAGCTCAACCAACACAAACGAAATAATAAGGCAGCGCTCCCATGCTGAATTCTTCGATATACAACGGAAAATATGGGAGTTTTTCAATAAAGGAGAAATCAACGAGAATACCGAGTTCGTTTGCGTCAAAGCTAATTACAACAGCAGTAAGATATTTATTGCCTTTTTATTTCTTTTTTTATTGTTGTGTTTCTTTCTTATTACTTTTGTTCGGTCAATTAATTAAGGGTTCGAAATGGTATAAATGTTTAGTGTTTCTCGGAGTTTATTGTTGAAGTTGTTTTTAATACTAAGGGCTGGCAAAGGTTAGTCTTGGGTCGAGATTTTCGTATGTAAGAAGATTACAATGCGTTTAAAATGTACCGAACAAAGAGAGAACAGTAAACACGTTGCCAAACGTATGAAATAAACCGAGAAACTGTGCACATCGCTAAGAGACGTGGAAGGGGATATAGCAGATTTGTCGCAGTTGACCGGTCGACCCAATCAATACCTCTGTCAGTACTTAAAGTTCTAGGGAAAGGTGTACGTCATGCGTTCAGCTTCACGATTTAATTACGTCTCGTGATAGAAATACTTTGCATTTTTGGTAAAAATAAGTGGAATTGAGTGGGTGTTCGATAGTGGTCGCGCTATTAGAACTCTAAATTCAAAAATCCATATGTCGAGCTCTATTAGAAATAATAGATTGTAGTTTTTTCAAGAACTTTGTTAATATTTCTGCTGTATTTTCTTTGCAGACAGTATGTGAAAACCTTTATCAATAAAAAAATTACACGATTGCTGAAAATTGCTATGCTCTAAAAGTAAATGGATGGATTGTTTACAATTTTTGAATGGAAAAAACAACCTCATCGAATTTTTCTTATGTAAACATATTGTAAAATATCCGATCTTGAAAATAAAAAAAGAGTTTCAATATCTAAAGTGGTTCTTGAGTTATGGCCTGTTATGTGTTAAAAAGTTGAGTTTTTAAATTATCGCGTTTACTGACGATTTCTCGTTATAAAAAAAATGACACCCTAACGATATCCTTATAATTCCATTTCAGATGCTGAGAAACATGTCTAATGCTTTTTTCTAGTTATCTCTTGAAAAAAAAGTCTTTTAAAAATAAGCGGTTTGCGATCGTGATTTTACTTTACTTGATAGGGAAAGGCGTATCGGCAACGCCGCAACAGCACACCGTCGCGCGTCACGTCGGTCGGTCGCATTTCTCTCACTCCGACTTAATAATATGCGATTTACTTCCACACATGTAAATGCCGACCCAAAAGTAACAGTTGCCAGCACGGTATAGATGTAGGTATAGCTTCCTTTTATACAGGTGGCGCCACTCATTCGCCTCGGTTAATTATACAAAAACGGAAAGATGTAGAAACAAAATATTTTGTGGGTTGTGATATATGTATGTGGAAAGACAATGTGCATAATTTAATATTATTTTGAAATGTACAGGGTGTGTCAGAACTAAGATCCATACCAAAGTTATATTTTTTCTTATGGAGCACCCGGTATTTTATTTCATCTTTGGTTTCTTGGGCATAAAATAAGGCATTTGTTATATGGGTTTGATATGTTTAAAGCTTTGGATTTTGAGATATTTAAATATATTTAAATATGCATGCTATAATAAAAAAGCTTGTCAACACCCTGTACTTTACTGTTCAGAATTAATTCTTGTGCTGACTTTTAAGCCAGAGAAATAAACTAAAAAAATTAATCGCTGACTTAAATGTATCGTTACTTTAAATACGCTTTTTATTAAAAATCTGAGCCAGATAGGTATAGGAAACACTTAGGTATATACTTAGTTTGAAAGAGCGATGAAATCTGCTTCGACTTATTTAAAAAAATACATAGTGTTGCATTTGAAATACAGAAGTTTTTATGTAAAATAAATATTTAAAATACAGCAATTTTTGATACATCTGTATACATTTAAGGCAGCAATCAATTGTTTTAGTAAAGTTTATTCCTCTGTCATAAAAGTCAGCACAAGAATTAATTCTGTGAAGTGCAGGGTGTTGACAAACTTTTTTATTGTACACTCAGATGCAAAAAAAATCGCAACGGAGAAAATTTTGGTCAAATTTAAACTGTTATATTTTTGTTATTTTTAGCCTTATTTTCATGAATTTTTTAGCAAGCTGTATATAATTATATCAACTTTAATATGTAAACTCAGTTTTTTATAAGCTTTAGTATTTGGCATGTTATACAGGGTTAACCCAGGGGTTGTTTTTTTACCCCAATTTTGACACACCCTGTGCAATAATTTCGTGTGTAAATTTTCCTAAAATATAATTTTACGGTCAGAACCATGTCTCCTGAGCATTTTGTTTTTTTTGGATCATGTCAATACATGCCTTGGTTAATTTTTAAGAGCGAAATGAATTTGCCACCAACAATTTGCAATTTTTTCAATTATAATTTTTTTTGAAGTTTTTTTTTCAATATGACAAGGCAGCTTTGGAGATCATTGTGAACTATGAACTCTTCATCATGTTCGACGTTTGGGAAATGCTTGGCAGGAGAGTTAGAGGTCGCGAAGCGTTACCAGCTTCATTAAATGAACTTCGCTTAGTCCTTAAAGAAGAATGGGAAAACATAATGAATATGATATATGCCGCCTCAATGACAGTATGAACGAACATATACAGGCAGTTATAGCAGCCAGGGGAGGCAATACAAAGTATTATATAGTGTTTTTTACAATTTTTATTCTGTTTGTATACTTCAGTATTACAGATGTTTTCTTTAATATCGTTAGTTTTGTTATCGATGCAGCGTAATATGACGTTACGACAATAGTCACCAAAACCATCTCGTCTTATTAAAAAATTACATCAAAAGTAACGATAACAGAAAAAATTGCAAATTCATCGTGATCAGTTTATTTCGCTCTTAAAAATTAACCAAAGCATGTATTGACGTGATTCAAAAAACAAAATGCTCTGGAGACATGGTTCTGACCGTAAAATTATATTATAGGAAAATTTACACACGAAATTATTGCACAGGGTGTGTCAAAGTAGGGATAAAAAAACAACCCCTCGATTAACCCTGTATAATATTCCAATTACTAAAGTTTACAAAAAACTGAGTTTGTAAATTAAAGTTTATATAATTCCATACAGTTTGTTGAAAAATTCATGAAAATAGGGCTAAAAATAACAAAAAAACACTGTTGCGTTTTTTTTGTGTCTGAGTGTAGTATGCATATTTAAATACTCCACTATTATACAGGGTCCGGCAATAGTGCGTCGGGCATCTGTAGCTCCTAGAATCAAAAACTTGAGAATTTTGTTTAAGTGCAAACCTAAAGTATGTATGAGGATGTATTTCCGGAAAATATTTTAACTTCTATAGGGTGGCTCAAAAAAGTGTGAGTGGAACTGGATGATTTTTTTTAAATGGAACACCCTGTGTATTATCGCATTTCTGGCTTCCTTTCAGATCACTTTATATAATCCTAAGATATGAGTTAATCTATTTCGATTAGTTTCGGAGATATTAAAAAATAAATCAAAAATATATATTTTTCAACCCTTCTTAAAAAAAATATTAAAAATACAAGAACTGTTCTGAAATCAAAACTATATTAGATATTTACTTTAGACGGTCTGTTCTTACTTTGCTATAAATATGGTAATCGTAAATCATACAGGATGTTCAATATTTTACGCCAAACTTTCAAAAATATAAAATAATTTTTCTTCGTTTTTTTAATGGAACACCCTGTATATTATTTTTTTATTTGACGGAGAATTAAAAAATGAACATTTTTTGTATTTAAAGTATTTCAAAATTTTTAATAGTTTTCCAGATACACGCAGTATTATTTTACATGGCGCTTTCAGTGGTAAAATACGAGAGAACAATCATTGGGTGGCTTTGATAAAAATTAACTGTGAAAAATACCATATGAAATACAAAACCGGGAATATCTGCGAAACCGTTAAAAATTTTGAAATACTCTAAATGCAAAAAATGTTCTTTTTTTAATTTTCCATCTATTGAAAAAATAATATACAGGGTGTTCCATTTAAAAAAACAAAGAAAAATTATTTTATATTTTAGAAAGTTTGGCGTAGAATTTTAAACATCCTGTATGATTTACGGTTTCCATATTTATAACAAAGTAAATACAGACCATCTAAAGTAAATATCTAATATAGTTTTGATTTTAGGACAGTTCTTGTATTATTAATTATTTTTTTAAGAAAGGCTGAAAAATATATAATTTTTATTTATTTATTAATATCTCTGAAATTATCGAAATCTATTTATTCATGTCTTAGGATTATGTAAAGTGATCTGAAAGGAAGCCAAAAATGCAATTATATACAGGGTGTTCCATTTAAAAAAAATCATCCCGATCCACTCACACTTTTTTGAGCCATTCTATAGAAGTCAAAATATTTTCATGAAATAAATCCTAGTACATACTTTAGGTTTGCGCTTAAACAAAATTCTCAAGTTTTTTATTTTAGGGGCTACAGATGCCCGACGCACTATTGCCGGGCCCTGTATAAAAAAGGTTATATAATTTTTTTTATTCCGGTCTTCACAACAGGGTTAGAAATTGAACGTAATCGGCAAAGTAACTTTTAATCAATACAGAAACACAATTTCGAGCTCCGTTTAATTATTCATTACATCTCACAAATGTATACCGGGTGGTTCTCAAAAGTGGCTCACCCCTATTACTTTTTTTTCAGATAATAATAAAACGAAATTTGGTATGTTAGTATAAAGACATAAATCGGAATTGATTGGCATATTCAAATACTTTCAGTCGCTTCCTGTTTCACTGGAAATGACTACAACTTTTGATTTTTAATTGGTACCCTTAGTATTTTTACTTTATTCGATAGAAAATGACACTCTGAATAGAATGACATATTATATGTCAATTTTTGACATTTTCAATTAACAAAAATAGCATATTAAATTTGCACCTAGAGCAGCTGTATTAAATCATTACTTTTTAATCAAGGAGCTTTGAAAAAATAAAGTTGATCGTCTAATGTTTTTAGTGTCTTTTCCTGACCGATTAAAAGATGCCTAAATCGTTTTTTAAATTATTTTTTTTCAAATGGAATGAGGGTGGCTCATTAACATGTTTGAAAATGTATTTTGTGCATTTGAACTTGATTTATTAACATATTCCACAAGGTGTTTACAACTTTCACCAAAATATCAACAATTTGGTTTCCCTTGTATAATTGACAGATAAGAATTTTCATTTTTAATTTATAAAGAGATATTAAAAAGTTAAATTCTAAGGTCTCGAACACACTGACGACCAGGTCGCACCGGCCAGGCCGCTGCTACCTCTAAAACCATTCAATCAAAAAATGATACAGCGCACACTAACGTCCTGGCTGTCCGTTGGTCGTTGCGACCAGTAGACTGCATTAAAATATTATTTTCTGTCGCTTGTTGCCGGTTTTCTTCCAAATTAATAATTTTTCAGGTGAAATCCCTCAGATTCAACGCACAATATTTTATTTTCTATAAGATATAGTGTTTTAGTGTAGTTTTTGCACACGTGCAGAAAATCCAAAGAAATAGTATACAGACTGGATCAAAGGGAAGCTTAAATCTAGTTCCTTTTTTATCAAGGGTCGATTCTATTAAAAATTCAAAACATTTTTATATGACATACTCTATTTATGGTATGATACGTGTTATTATACCTTCGAGTTTCGATGTTAAAAAATAAAAAAAATTATATTTAAAGTTTTCCTACAACCACTTGTTATTTTTATTAAATTAGTTTTTTTAGTTGTATTGTAGTCATGTACAAGGAGAACAACTGTATTTTAAATATTATATTTAATTTAACGTGTTTCAAACAGGGTCCATTAAACTATATTTCTACTAGGTGCATTATTTTTAAAAAAAAATTAAGAGAAAAAGTAACTTAAACGTTTATAAAAATAAAAAAAAGTATTTACTGTTGTAGATTCTCAGTAACAATAAAAAAGAGTATATTGTAAACATTGAAATAATTGGAAGCTAAACTTTCTACCTGCTTATATTTAGAGTCGACCTTTTTTACGATGGCCCTAATATGTTTACTTCTAAAGTCGATAAGAGCCATCAGTAGAAGTCCATATCAGTAGAAAAAAGAAACATAATATCTCCCTTTTTGTCGGTCGCGCGTACGCACAATGCTTTTTGTTCGGCCTATTTGTTCTGCTTGTTCGTGCGCGCTCGGTTCGTCCGGGCTAAAATGCTCAAGACTGGACGCACCTTTAGGAACAATACTGTTTTTGTCATTTATTGATATAATGCTGAAAATCTCACGAGTTACATGTTTCACTCTACACATATTAAATTACATAAACGTAGGATGTAGAATATTCTGTTATGAAACGACTGATGGAATGCAGGCATCGCGGATTTGAAAAACATGGAAATAACGACGTTATCGTGTATTCGGGGTTGGAGATTTTACTTACTACATACCACACCAGTTAAGTACTTATTAACGAAAAATCCAAGAATATTTTAAATGCATTATTTAATATTAGAACATTTAATAAGCTTATGAATAGCAACTTTGCTTTTCAGTTAACTCGGATATTTTAACATTTCTGAAACTTAATTCTTTCTGAAACAATATTTTCTAATTGGTAAAACGTAAAAAATCGTTAGATCTGACAACCCTGTTGAAACTGGTCGTTTATCTGGTCGCAGCTATAAACGCAGTAAATCCGGCCAGCCGACGGCCGGTCGTTGCGACCTTGTTGCGATCTGGTCGTCAGTGAGTTGGAGCTCTAAGCTAACTTGATATAATTTTTGCCAATAAACCGAGAATATGAAAAACGATATAACTAAATATACATAGAAATGATTTGCTGAATTATTAATTTAAAATTTTCAGGTAGCAGCAGTCAAACGAAGACTTTCAGGGGCTGCGTGCCCCGCAGCACCAAGACCATCTCGTCGGCCTGCGACTTCGTCAGCCAACGCGTGGTGGGGAGTTCTTCGGGGAGTTCCGTTTACGGTTGTTACGCGTGCAATAATGATTTATGTAATGCGGGGATTACGTTCCGCGCCTCCGTCTTCGTTTTATTGGCGGGGGTGGCGCTGAAAATAGTTTTCTGATGATGCCGAAGCGGTGCGTAACAAAACCCCCTGTCTCGTAAAAGAGGGTACGAGTGTATTTGGGAGAGGACACTGTTATTACGGCGGTCTTATTTGGAAAATTATGACCGCCATTTCGAATTTTAAGCGTATTTTTTACGATTTTTTTTACATTATTTTAAGTCTAGTTTTTGAAGTATTTACTAACTTATTTATGAAAAACTATAAAAGAGGTCTTTGGATGAGCTTAATTTAGAAGATACTTGATAAGTTTTCAAGAAATTTAGTTTTAGGATTTTAAGAAGATAGAATGCATTGATGTTAGTGGTCTCGTATTATTTTATATTGTAAATTGCTAACACAATTTAATAAATTATGTTGTTTTACATATTAAATTTAAACTCACATTTTTCAGTTTCATTTTAGTTTCTACGATAAAAAATAATAAATATAGTTAAATATACCCAGGGGCGGATACAGAAATTTATTTTAGGGGGGGTCCAAATAAAAAGTAATGTAGAATATGCTGTTTAGGGCGCCATTTTTAACTCATAAGGCTAATATTTAACCCAATATTAACCCTATACATTTTAGAGGGGCCCGGGCACCATGGCCCCCCCCCTCCCGTACAGAACACTTCGTCCCAGGGACGTACATTATGTCGGTACGTCCCGGGACCAATTAGGGACGTACTATGTACGTACAAAAGTGTACGTACATAGTATGTGCCCCATGTACGTACTATTTACGTACATTGTAGGACTTCACTACGGACGTACATGCGAGTACGTACTACGGACGTATCTTGACAACGCATTACAAAATGTTATTTAATGTTAATATCATGACTGGATTATTTTGGCCAGATATACCCAATAATAATGAATGGACTGGATCAGTGGATATTTTCTAGGTTAACGTTAATTCAAGTCACATTAACCTACCTCTACTTCTTTTATTAATAAATCTAACCCGACCGCTATAAAAAATGATTTCCTAAATTATCCAATGACCATAATGCATGACAGCCTTTGAAGAAATCTGATGGGTTAAAAATGCAATATATTATGCAATCAAGCCTAACAGGAAAATTATGCAGTCCTATGTTTAAATTTCCCGCTAAGTTATTCGTTCACATTCGAGTCTTGTCGGAAGTCGGGCAGTTTCTAATGGCGTTTTTGATTGGCAGAGCTAGAGCGCACGTGTGCACTCAGTGTATTTCCATCTTTTATTAATCAACGTAAAAAATAAAAACAACAATACACTGAATGCGCACCTACTCCGATCCAGTTTTCGATTGTGTTGTGTGAGTGGGTGTTATGTGTCATGGTGGCCGTAGGTTGTTTGGCTTCCGCCTGGTTTTCTTTTGTTGTTGCCTTCGTTGCTCGTTGTTTCAAGGTAAGTTAAAGTGTAATAATATAATGTGGCGCAAAGATACTTCTAGCGAATATTACAAAAGGGCAAATGTTCAAATTAAGCGGTTTGAAAGAGCTCTTCAAGAGAGAGAGAGAGAGGCTCCATACCCTAATTAAAATAGACAGCCTGCTTCATTTAATCAGGCATCTTACCTTCAATCTTGTAATGATCAACATAGCACATCAGATGTTTCAGTTCTTGATTTACAGTCTGAAGATTCTCTGCCACATCTTATCAATAGCGAAACTGAAACAGATAACCCTCGAGATAACTTATGTTGTGTATCTCAAAGTGGGGAATCATCAGATGAATTACATGACACTGCCACGTCTAATGTGACTATTTCACCTAGCACAGTCACAACCTCGAATGATTGAGAATCGGCTCATTCAATTTTTTCAAAACAGAGGCAAGAATTAGATATTTGAATACTTAGTTTTCTTTTTGCATTTTTCAGTTAGAAGCAGTTCGGGAATAAAAACAATAAAATATCTATCAACATCCAATAAAAGACAGAGAGCGCTAAGGGTGTAGTTGCCGGACCGAAGCCAGACTCACGGGTGTATCGAGACATAAGGGTACCTGTACCTGAGTTTTATATTAATAAATATTTTAAGCTGACTTCCACTGAATTATTTATAATTAAATTCCTAGGTCGTATACGTCGTTGAAAAATGTACGTCCATAGTACGTACATTGTATGTCCATAGTACGTACATTGTACGTACTTTAGATCATTTTACATCCAGTTTTGGTCCGGAACAAAACATAAAATGTACGTACCTGGAATGTACGTAAATGCGACGTACATAGTACGTACTTTACCACATCCCAGGGGCGTACCGGGGACGTACAACAAGGACGTACGTACCGTGGCTGTATGGGCTCTGTATCCGCCACTGCCTATATCCACAAAGTTGCACGAAAGAGTTTTGATTGCATTGGTTTCAACTTCTATGCGGAGGGGATTAATCTTTTTTTGTTTTATTATATCAAAAATAGATTAACCCCCTCCGCAAAGAAGTTATATAAAGACTTTTTATAACCACGAAGTTGCACGAAAGAGTTTTGATTGCATTGGTTTCAACTTCTTTGCCCCTCCGCAAAGAAGTTGAAAAGTTAAGCTTTTTTTGATATAATACAACAAAAAAAGATTAACTTCCTGCATAGAAGTTGAAACCAATGCAATCAAAATTATTTCGAGCTACTTCGTGGTTGTCAGATTTGGTTGGTAAAATAGCAGTTATGGGAAGGAGGCGTTTCTCTGGCGACCGCCTTTCGTAATCCCAGAGGGAGCGATAAAAACGCCGCGCCGTTTAGGTTTAGCATTGGCAACGTTGCTTTAAATGTCAGAAACACATAACCCAAGATTTTCAGATTGCTTACAAATTTTCCTTTATTATGCATAGAACTGGTTAAAAAAGTAACAGAAAATAGCAAAAACCTCATTGTTTATTGAATACCTAACAAAATATGTACTAGAAACCCTTAAAAAGATGAGAAATTAAGAAAAATTCGATATTGAAATAATTTGTCGTTTTTCTGAAAAAACGGTAAGAGATCACCAGAAACAGTTCAGATTCGTAATCTACGACCTCAAAATAGGGTGTATACCAATTTTGGTGAAAATCGGACGATTTCCAGTTTTCCCAATAAATATCGCTTTTTATAGTAGTGGGAACTATCGAATGAATACTATCGAAACATTCGATAGTTGCAATTCATTCGAATAATTCGATAGTTAGTAAGAAAACATTCGTTGAAAACTATTCGAATAAAAATTATCGAATAGATCCGTCATCTGCCTTGAAATATTGTATTGTAGTAATTCGGCAGCAAAAACCATTCATTTATAAAATTCATTCATTTATGAAATTCATTTATTCGTCAGGATCGATTATAATAAAATATTAACTGAATTTTAGTTGTCGCCCGGCGACGTAGGTTTCTTTCCGAGAAACCCGACAGCGGTCGGTGGCAATGCTATGAAAGAACCCGGCATCTTTGATTTTTTGCGGAGTCAGATATAGATAAGGACCCATTATTTTTTTTTATTGAGGTGCTAGTATTTACACAGAAAATACATTATGAAGGGCGCTGTTGACATATTTTGGTATTAGTTGATATTAGCAAAGAATATTATTGATTGGCTTTAGTTAGTTAGGGTTAGTATGTCTATATATTCTGCATTTTTTTTATTAATATTCTGTTGTTACACTGCAATAATACTTGTTATTTTGGATGTAGGAAAATTATTTTTAATGTTTTTACGCAAAGACTGGTTTAAAAATAATAATAACAATAATAATTTGTTATACCTATTAACAACAAAATTTAAAATGATTTAATATAAATATTTTTTTAAGTAGTAGCAAAATATAAACAACAAATTAGATGTCAAAATTATTTATATTAGATCCTATTTAGAAATAATATAGTCTCTAAATTTTTTGTGTGTGGCAACGTTGGTTTATTAAATAATAATAATTACAGAACTAATTTGTTATATTAACAACAAATTTTAAAATCATGAAATATAAACATTTATTAATTTTCTAAGCATGCAGTGTAATGGAAGGAAAATATAAATAAAAAATTACAAATCAAAATTATTTATATTAGGTGCTTTATATTACTATTTAAAAATTATATTTACTTTTACTGGCATTTACTTTAAAAAATAAATGAAATATTTCTTCGCAAAAAACTACATGTAAGAAAATTAGCATAAACAAAATACAAACATCGTTAACTTTTTTTTTTAAATTGGCACGTGTAAAACTTTTATTTTAATTTTCTCACCCCATAGTTTGAGTTCGATAACCATTTACTTAACCACATTACTTAAATATGATTATTAAGTTCAACTAATTCATATTATTAAAACATCTAAAATACAAATATGTATTTTTAAAATTAATTGTAAGTTCATCTCATCTCTCTTAAAAATTGCTACTTCTCAAAATTTCCCATTAAAAAATAGACCATATACCATATAAAATTAAATAATTGAAAGATCGGACTACGGAAAACCACACAACTTTTCGGAAAAATTTTGACCACCTGCACATGCACACAATCGTCAATAAATAAAATTAAAAAATAACTACTATTTTAGTATTTTAACTATTTTAGTAAACGCAAAAATAGCACAGTATTTATACGGTGAAGTTATAAAAATTTGGAAGAACTAATAATGCACTGACGCATACAAAAATCAAACGAATACTAAATTTCATTTATCAAAAGCATTCGATAGTCGTGGCTCAACGATAACCATTTAGTCGCACGGCGAGGTTGTCACATATGCTTTAGTTTACAAATGAATGAATGATTTTATTCGAATAAAACCATTCGATAGTTGAAATCATTCATTCATTAACCATTCGATAGTCTAATTCATTCGATAGTTCCCATCGCTAGCTTTTTATAATACACCCATGGCCAAAATTATTGCCATATAACCATATTTTTATTTTGTTTTGGACCTAATATGATTCTTTTATATTTTTGGACATATTGGCTTCAAAATCTAAGTGCAACTAGGCTGTTATTATAATTTTATTTCATAATGAGTGAAAATCAACAAAAACAAATTTCATTTTGAACAGAAAATATTGAAAACAATTTTAACTATTTCTCACAACTAATAGTCTTTATTGCCTCCTCGAACGTCAATGCAAGCTGTGAGACGACGTGGTATGCTCTCAATTAAGTTGTCCAGAAGATGTTGAGGAATGGCTTCCCATGTTTCGCGCGCAGCAATTTTCAATTCATTTAAGGTACGGGGGGGATCATTCCTTTTGGCAATATGACGTTCTAGCATGTCCCAAACATGCTCGATCACATTCATATCTGGAGACATCGGTGGCCACCACATTTTTCTTATACCCTCTTCCTCACAAAATTCGCGAACCGCTAAAGTGCGATGGGGAGGAGCATTATCGTCCATGTAAACAAATTCATCCCCTACTGTCCCTGGAAATGGACG